AGGGAGCTGAGGAGCAGCAGGAAGGAGCTGAGCTCAGGGATGTGCAAATTGGCTGCTTGCAAAAACAAGTTTTAAAAAGTTGAATTTGGGGTAGAAACCCTGAGAAAAACACTTTATTTCTAGATTTTGTCGTGAAAAAAAAAAAAAAATCCAATTCCTTCCTGTATCCTAAAAAAGTGATGGCACAACCTAAAGAAGCCTCTAAGGAAGTTGTCAAACCTTGGGATGAAAACAAATCTGGAGGAGCAGGTAAAAGGTAGCAGCTCCAGCACAGGTAAATTGCTTTTTAACAAGGAGACAAGGCCCATCCCTGGCATCTGCCGTATGTTTTTATAAAGCCCAGAAATATGTTTTTAAAAGGCCAGTAAATAAAGTTCCTATCGATTTGATCTCCAGTGTAATCTGTTTTTCTGTCTGCCACCACGAGTGGTAATAAAAGGGAATCAGGGGACGCGGCTTTGGGTTAATGCAGCGATCCATCACCGTCGGGGGCTTTGCCACGCTGCACAATCGAGAAACTGCCCCAAATTGGTGCAAGGGCCAATTTTCTTTTCCAATTTATTTTTGCTTGAGCGAAGCAATATCGAGGCAGGACGAGGAGGATGCGCTTCCCATCCTTCCAGATGTTCTCCTGCTTCCCTGGGCTGGGAAGGGGCCTCCAGCAGCTCCCGGGGGGGCATTTTGGGAAGGTGCTGTGGGTGCTTGGGTGTTTGGGATTTTGAGGCCAGGTCCTTGCAGTGGGACCCAAAGGGGGATTGGGATGTGCTTAGGAGAGTTTCACAGTGAGCATTGAGCATTCCAGGGCTGATCTCCCATGGATTGAACATCCTGAATGTCACAGGGTTGATTTCCCATGGATTGAACATCCTGAACATCCCAGAGCTCATCTCCCATGGATGGAGCATTCCAAACATCTGAGGGTTGATCTCCCATGGATTGAACATCCCGAACATCCCAGAGCTCATCTCCCATGGATGGAACATCCTGAACATCCCAGAGCTGATCTCCCATGGATGGAGCATCCTAAACATTCCAGAGCTGATCTCCCATGGATGGAGCATCCCAAACATTCCAGGGCTGATCTCCCATGGATTAAACATCCTGAACATCTCAGAGCTGATCTCCAATGGATTGAACATTCCTGGGCTGATCTCCCATGGATCAAACATCCTGAACATTCCTGGGCTCATCTCCCATGGACTGAACATCCCAAACATCCCAGGTCTGCATTTCTCATGGACTGAACATCCCAAACATCCCAGGACTGATCTCCTGAGAGATATTCCCAGACCTTGGCCCACCAGGACAGGGCAGTTGAAGGTTTTCCAGGGTATCCAAGCCATCCAGAACCACTCTCCTGTCCCTGGCAGTGCACCCCTGCCTCCTGTCCCTGAGCCTGTTGCTCACTGAGATGCCCCCACACACAACAGGTGCCCTCATGGCACTGAAAATTGCCCCAAAATGGTTTTTTGGCAGTAAATTGATGTTTGATAAAGCTGGCTTCGACAGCTCAGTGTTTAAACATGACAAAATATTCAAATCCACCCTGAAATGATGCACTGAAGTCCCCCAGGCCAGATTTTGCTGCCGTCAGAGCTCAGCTTTGCAAGATGCCCCCCCACTTTCAGCTCCTCACCCCAAACCATCGATGTTCCCTTCCCTGAACAGACCCTGGGCACAAAGGTGACCCCAAACCCATCCCAAATACCTGGGATGATAATGGGAAACCTCCCATTCCCCCCCCAACCCCTTCAGAAAACTGATAAATATTTCTAGAGAGAAAAACAAACACTCCGCATTTGGCTTTTTTGGTGGTTGTTTTTCTTGAAGAGACAAAGTGTTCCACAGAGAGCCGACACTTCCTACACAAGTTTGCATCCTCAAACCCCGAGATTTTCTGCCACGGATTTGGATGGGAAAAGCATCTCCAGCCCTTCAGCCAGCCCTCCCCACCCCATCCAGGATCACCGAGCTGGAGCATCCCACTGGAGCACTGCAGGGAGATGGAGATCTCCTCGCTTTGCCAAATTTTCCCGCTCTCATTTGGGAATAAAATTAGGAATAATCAAATTTCCTTGGTTTAGAAATACCCACATAAAGCATAAAAACAACTCTCATGCCGCAGCTCTTGTTCCCACTCAATTTAGGGTGAGCTTAGGAGGGAAAAAGATTACCCCAAAGCATCCTTAGAGGTTCAGGAGTATGAAAATTGCAGGTAAACCAGAGGAGAGCCAGTTCTCTATGAGGAGTTTAAGACCACCCAGCCCTTTCCCAAAATGAACTCCTGGTTTGGGCACTGCAGCTGGATCATTCCCAGCTGTGCAGAGCTGGGGAGGCATTTTTTGGGAAGGCCAGAGGAGAAACCCACCCCAAACCCCGGGAAGCAGCGGGGCCCCGTGTCCTCAGATGCCGCCTCAGCTCAAGATGTGCCGAGATGTCTTGGAAGGAAACGGTGCCAAATCCATGAGCGGAGCCATTCCCGGTGCCAGCGGGAGCCGCCGCCCGTGCCAGGGGCTCCCTGGGGACCTGCCACCCCCGAGGCACAGCTGGAATTCCATCCCAAAATAAACAGGTGCCACCCCCAAGCTCCCAGCTCAGCCTTCCCTGCTTTTTGTGGATTCTGGGATGCACAGCCCGCATCCCCCTGGCACAGCCTGGCAGGGTCTGGCTCTGGTCCCCAAAATCCTTCCCACAGCCGTCGGCAGCAGCGTTCCCTTCCCGGAGAGTCCCTTCCCTTCTCCCGGCCCTGCACGGCTTTCCAGGACTAAAATTAAAGGAAAAAAACAACTGCCCACATCCCTGGGAAACTTCAAACTCCTGGAAAGCCGGGGACAGGTCTGCGTGCAGCAGCCTCTGCCAGGAAGGAGGATTTTTTTTTTTTGAGAATCAGACATCTTTAAGGAAAAGTTCTCCTTCCAACCATGTGATCCGCAGGGGGAAGAGACTTCCCAGACGGCGGGGAAGAGCCGGAAAAACTGATTGTTCACACTCCGAGGTAACGCCAGCAGAGCTGACTTCTCCCTTAGCAGCCCCCAGCGCTGGAGCTGGCCACGGCAATTACAGAAATTATTGGGACAGGGCGGTTTTTGGGGGGCAGCGAGGATTCCACCGCGATTTGCGAACGCTACGAGACGACGCCGCATCCTGGGACAGATCTGGGATCACAGCAGGGCACGGCGCGGGGTGTCCCCCGAAATACCGCAGTGTCACGCCACTGATTGTCCCCTCCCCGTGCCCGCGGCACCCTCAGCACAGATCCCGGCTCTCCCAGTTCCTCCCAGTTCCTCTCCCAGTTCCTCTCCCAGTTCCTCTCCCAGTTCTCCCAGTGCGGGCGGCGCTGGAGCTCGGGCAGTTCAATGCTGCCACCTGGTGGTGGCAGGAGGGAACAGCAGCGCCGGGATTCCCCCCACCCCGATCCCAAATCCGTCGTGATCCCAAATCCATCATGATCCCAAATCCCATCGCGATCCCAAATCCATCGTGATCCCAAATTCCATCGTGATCCCAAATCCCACCGCGATCCCAAATCCATCATGATCCCAAATCCCACCGCGACCCCAAATCCATCATGATCCCAAATCCATCATGATCCCAAATCCCACCCCAATCCCAAATCCATCGTGATCCCAAATCCCACCCCGAGCCCAAATCCCATCATGATCCCAAATCCCACTGCGACCCCAAATCCCACCACGACCCCAAATCCCACCCCGATCCCAGAGCTCACTTGACTAAAAAACAAAAACCCAAAAAAACCAAAACAAAACGCGGCAATGAAGTGAAATAAATCCAGTGGTCAGAATGTACCAAAAGTTCAGTGGTCAAAGTAGAAGAAACAAAATTGAATGCCAAAATGTAGCAAAAAATATAAGTATTCAGTGGCCACAAGAGGGAAATAAAATTTATTAAACTTTTCTCTACGTGTGGTCACTTGATTCTTGTTTTTCCTACATTGTGGCCATTTAATTCCTTCCTTTAAAATAGCCATGATGGAACACAAAATTAAATCATTAGGAGGCCGCAAATAGCAAAAAATTAAATTATTAAGTGGTCACGTGTAGCAGAAAAAATAATTTAATTTCTTTGCTGCCTTCTGGCCATTTAAATGGTCACAGTATATAAAAAATTTAATTGTTTAAAAGTTAAAGTAGGGGAAATTATAAAAGGCTGCATTTATAGGGGAAATAATGGTTACAATGTAGCAAATATTCTAAATTGAAATGCGGTGATATGGTGAAAATAATTCATTAAATGGCTACAATGTAGCTGGAATAGCTGTAAAATGGGTGCAATGTAGGAAAAAATATATTTAGTAAATAGTCAAAGGAAAAAATATATATATAAAATTAAAAATACAAACGTAAAACATAAGAATATAAAAATTATAAAATATATAACATTAATAAAATATAAAATAATGATATATAAAAATAAGAACATAAAATTAATAACAGATTAAAATGTCATAATATTAAATAATAATATATTAAATAATAAATATAAAATTATGGCATATAAAATAAGTAAATGTAACATGATTAAATATCAAATAATTAAATATCAAATAAACTATAAAAATATAAACACAAAAATATAAAAGTGGTTTCAGTGCAGTAAAAAAACTCTGAATGTGAGAAAAGTTGATTCAATGGCCACAGCGTAGGGAAAAAAATTATAATAAATTACCAAAAAAATAGACAAAAAAAGGCAATTCCATTTATCCACAGCTCAGCCTCCAACCAAACCCTTGAACCAAGGAGGAAAAGTGGGAAAAAAGCTTCCAAAGTCCCCCTGATCCCAGGAAAAGCCAGAGCGGGGTCTCACCTTCTTGGCCCAGGGGTAGGGAAAAAATAATAAATTACAAAAAAAATGACAAAAAAAAGACAATTCCATTTAACCACAGCTCAGCCTCCAACCAAACCCTTGAACCGATGAGGAAAAGTGGGAAAAAAGCTCCCGAGGTCGCCGTGATCCCAGGAAAAGCCCCAGCGGGGTCTCACCTTCTTGGCCCAGGGGTAGCGCACGCGGGGCTTGCTCCACTCCTCGCTCAGCTTCTGGCGGTAGCCGTGGCACTTGGGGATGTAGGAGCAGCTCACGTCGCCCACCTCGGGGTAGATGACTTCCAAATCCCCCCTGGAACAAGGGGACAGGGAGGAAAATGAGGTGGGAATTGGTGCCAGGCCGGGCTCGGGATGGGGTTGGGAATTGCGGGCGGGAGCGGCGGGGATAACGGGAGTTTGTTGTAAATTATTGTAATTATAAATTCCTTCCCTAAATCTGCTGAAGGACATTTGAATTCCTGCGCTCCTTGGGTGTTCTTCAGCAGATTTTGGGAAGGAATTCCTCCCTGGGAGGGTGGGGAGGGGCTGGGATGGAATTCCCAGAGGAGCTGGGGCTGCCCCTGGATCCCTGGAAATGTCCAAGGCCAGGCTGGAGCTCCCTGGGGCAGTGGGAGGTGTCCCTGCCGTGGCAGGGGTGGGATGGGATGAGCCTTAAGGCCCTTCCAGCCCAAACCATTCCAGGATTCTTTGATTTGATTTCCCCATCCCTCTGTGGATGCTGCAGGAGCAGCCCTGGACGCTGGGAATTTGCTGGGCAGGAGGGCCTGGAGGGACAGGGAATGGCTCCACTGCCAGAGGGCAGGGATGGGTGGGATATGGGGAAGGAATTCCTGCCTGGGATGGAATTCCCAGAGCAGCTGGGGCTGCCCCATCCCTGGAAGTGCCCAAGGCCAGCTTGGAGCAGCCTGGGACAGTGGGAGGTGCTGGGCTTGGAGCTGGATGGGTTTTAGGGCCCCTTCCCCCCCAGCCATTCCAGGATTCCATGGAAAAGCAGCCTCCTGCCTCTGAAGCTTTCCATGGAAAACTTCTGTCATCCCTGACGCTGCCAAAGGCACTTCCAAAGCCTCTGCACAGCTGGCTGGGGAATAACTCCAGGTGCCCAGATGTCACCCTGTTAAGTTTTTTTAAGTCTTCTGATGTTTATATTCTTGTAATGAAGTTTCTCACGCACTTTTATGTAAATAATTATTATTTTACATTCTTCTCTGGAGGAGGAGAAATTTGATGGAACGTTGGTTTGTCCAGTGTCACAGGAGAGGTGGCACTTTCATCCTCCAATCCACTGCCACTTTTGAAAGTCTATAAATATTGGTGGCAGGAAATAAACTTTTTTTTCTTCTTCTTCTTTTCACCCTGGAGTTCCAGTGTCCACATCATTTTATTTCGTGTCCTACTGCGACGCCCAGAGACATCCCGGTCCCAGGGAAAAGGAGGAAAAGAGCCAAAACTCATGGCCAAGGGGACACTGGAATGAACTGTGCTGGGAGGTGACACAAAGGGAACGGCCAGGCTGGGCAGGGGACAGGCGGGGAGGGGACAGAGGCCAGACAAGGCAGGGGACAGGCAGGGGACAGAGTCCAGGCTGGGCAGGGGACAGGCTGGGACAAGGGACAGCGAGGGTCAGCCCCACCGGAGCCAGCACGCCCCAGCCCAAAGCAGGCCTGCTCGGGAGGATCAGGTTCTTTTTTGGTTTAGAGATGGGGTAACTGAGAGGCACTTTAAAAACTTTGATTGTATTTTTAGTCTCATGTCAAGGGTGAGACAACACAGAGATAATTCAATTTTTATATATATATTTTATATATATATAATATATTCATATATTATATAGTTGTTATAATTCACACCATTACTATCAGAAGCCAACTACTTTTTAATTACAATACATTATAAACATTTTTTGGCCAATCAGCTTTTTGCCACACCATACTGCAAATGCTTTAAAGTTAATTATCTAGAATTACTCCTCGTGGGTTTTACTATAATGCATCTTTCATAGCTCTATTTCTCAGAAATATTTCGTTTTATTTGTAAGGCCATCCAAACTTGTTTCTAGTTATATTTCTCAACAAAGTCCATCCTATATTATGCTATTTCTAAGTCAGTATTTCTTAGCTCAAGGCTTGCATGCAGATGCAAACCTCTCAATTGTCTCAGAGTCAAAAAGAACCGAATCCAACACGTGTCCATCATTTCCTCCTGCAGCTCCACAACTCGAATCCCATCTATTCCAGAAGGGAGCTGTTTCTTGCTGCCCCCTCGGCCAGGAAATCCCGAGCCCCCAGCAGAGCCCAGACCTTTCTGAGCAGTTTCCCCTTTCCCCGGTGCTTGGTTCCCCTGCACGTGGCACCGGGAATGTCCCCACGTGGTGACACCGCGCTCCGGGAGGGGACAGAGTCCCCATCTCCACCTGCTGCTCTCCCAAACACGACGGAGAATTGGGATCAGGGGTGGCTGTGGTCTGTCCAAGACCATCCCCACGGACACACACCCAGCCGGGACACCAGGACACGTCCCCAGGCCGAGGCAAGGTCCTTGCAGGGGAACCTCGACCCAGCCACCCCCTGCAGCGCTTCTCCCACTCGGGGACAACTCTGGCCACCCCTTTTTAAGCCTCGAGGGGGACGAAGGGGACACGGGGCCGGGTCCCCACCCCCCTGCCAAGCCCAGCACCAGCCCTCACCTCCTGGGGGACCCGGTAGCCACGGGCCACCAGAGAGCCACTTACCAGGGTCCTGGGGACAGCCGAGCGGCTCCGAGGCAGAGCCCGGAGGTTTGAGGTTGCCGTGGAGATGGTTTCCTTGGAAGGAAGGGACAGAGGGACTGGGAATGAAAGTCAAAGCCCAGGAAAGGGGCAGCCAGCTGCTCGGAATCTGCCGAACCGTTTTTAACCGCCGGGCAACCGCCCCAACCGCCCCAAACGGCCCCGGGTCTGCCCAGCCCAGCCCCCGGCCGCACCTGCGGCTGCTCGGGCTGGTGAGGAGCGCTGCGAGCCCAACTTGGATTTGCCCGTCTCGTCCACTGCCTAATGGGCGCCGGGGAAGAGGCACATGCGAATAAATGCGATAAAATAACAGTGGGGAAGAGCCGGGTGTGCGGGGATTGCAGCAGCGAGGGGATCATTACATAATGGAGCCGGGGCTGCGCGCTCGGGGAGCACGAGGAAGAGGCGCCGGGCTTAACTAATTAGAAACATTAATGGATCGGGAATGATCGGGAGCTTTTAGGGGCTTAATGGCTCCGGTTCCCACGCTGCCGAGATGGGCACAGCCCGTAATTAGAGCCTGAGCCGGCAATGGGCTCGCGTGAGTCAGGAGCTGGGTTTGCATCTTCCCAGGAGCGCCGGGCGGGCTGAGTCAGGGCAGCGTTTGCATCCTCACGGTGTCACACGGATGGGGCAGGTTGAAAATTCGGGGTCCCCAGCACTTGGGCAAAGGTGGTGATCAGCAGAAAATGCCCAGAAATGTGGCCATGGAATGGTGAGGAAGGCAGGAATTCCCTTAGAGAAATGGGGATGTGGCTGGAAGTTGGGCAAGAGGCGGGGCAGGGAGATGGGCACCGGGAGAGGTGGAGATGTGGACAAAGAGCTCCTGGTGAAACAGGGAATGGTTTGGGATGGAAGGACCTGAAGGATCCAGAGCCACCCCTGCCATGGCAGGGACACCTCCCACTGTCCCAGGCTGCTCCAAACTCACCTTGGGCACTTCCAGGGATCCAGGGGCAGCCCCAGCTCCTCTGGGAATTCCATCCCAGCCCCTCCCACCCTCATTCCTCCCCAATATCCCACCCAAATCTCCCCTTTCCCAGTGGGAGCCATTCCCTGTGTCCTGTCCCTCCATCCCTTGTCCCCAGTCCCTCTCCAGCTCTCCTGGAGCCCGTTCAGGCCCTGGAAGGGCTCTGAGCTCTCCCTGGAGCCTTCTCCTCTCCAGGTGAGCATTCCCAGCTCTCCCAGGACCCAGAGGGGCCCCAGCCCTGGAGCAGCTCTGTGGCCCCCAGGTCTGGCTCAGGATCCTCTCCAGTCCCTTGGGAGTGTTTTTTTTTTTTTTTTTGGATTCCCCAAACAACACCAAGAAACCAAAATGGGATGAACTCAGAACAGGGATTTTTTTCCCCCCCCCAAGCCCAGAGGCTGAGAAAAGCCCTTTACAGAGCCAAAATCAGCCCCTTCCATCCGGAGACCTCTCACAGACCAGCCCAAAAGGGTTTGCCAATGGAAAAGGTGCAGGGGGATCTCCCAGGGATCCTCAGGAAACAAAACACACTGGAGCAACAATTTTACATTTTAAAAAATGTAAAATTTTATCATTTTTCATCTTCCCATGTGAGATGAACCATGACTTCTTCCCTAAAAAAAAAAAAAAAAGGGTTTTTTTTTGCGTTTTTTAACGAGGATTTTATTTCCTCCACTCAGGAGACAGAGTTTAAAGGGCAGCAGGAAACTCATCCAGCTTCTACCAGGAAAAATAATCCATGGGAAAATGCTGCCAGGGCCGGACATCCTCTGCTGTGGGATGCTCCTGAGGGGCAGGAAACCACTGCAATATTTAATTTTTAACCCCTGTGGTCTCCAAACCCAGGCCAGGGTGACTCCAGAGCTGCTGGCTTTGCTGTCCCTGCCACATTCCTGGAAAACCTACCCCAGGGATGGGCGATTTTCACCTGCATCCTCCTCTTCCTCTTCCTCCTGCCTGTGCCTGGAGCTGTCCCAGCTGGGAGGAGCGGAAAACCCCGGCAGAGGCTGCAGGCAGCAGTTTCCCCTCTGGAGACGGATCCTGCCGTGGGAAAAGGCAGCTTTGGTGTCAAACCAGCTCCTGGGGTGGGAGGAAATGAAAATTTTGGGACATTTTAGTTCATTTTGTGTTCACTCTGTGACCATTTTGGTTCATTTTGGGACCATTTTGGTTCATTTTTGGGACAATTTTTGGTTCATCTTTGGTTCATTTTGGGACATTTTAGTTCATTTTGTGTTCACTCTGTGACCATTTTGGTTCATTTTGGGACCATTTTGGTTCATTTTTGGGACCATTTTTGGTTCATCTTGGGTTCATTTTGGGTTCCTTTTGGGACCATTTTGGGTTCCTTTTGGGACCATTTTTTGTTCATTTTGGGACCATTTTGGTTCATTTTTGGGACCATTTTTGGTTCATCTTGAGTTCATTTTGGGACATTTTGGTTCATTTTGGGTTCACTCTGTGACCATTTTGGGACCATTTTGCTTCATTTTTGGGACCATTTTGGTTCATCTTGGGTTCATTTTGGGTTCACTCTGTGACCATTTTGGGACCATTTTGG